TGTGCGGTTGGTCTGAAACAAAAGTGATCAAACCATCAGATCAGCCCGTGATGCTTTTCTATGAAACAGGATTTATATCCTAATTTATCCTCAAAAGTATTTGCAAGTCATGAGACCTTAGAGGACAATAAGGCAGAGGGTCATTTTAGTAACACAACACACTGTTAGCCCGATTCTTTAGTTGGAAACCTGAGAAGAAACCAAAGTGGATCAAAAGTATATAAATGACACAGTTAAGGGCTCTAACAGACACAACCAAGTCCTATTGGCCAGTTACCTCTGGGCATGAACAGGCCAGGTCCTAATTCATGCAGATGATTTTGGAATGTGGTAAAAAAAAAAAGGTGTGTGTTTGTGTTAACCTAAAGGTGGATCTAATGCAACAGAGAGAGAAAAAGAGAGAAAAGAGAGTTTGTGGACACAGCCAGAGAGTTTAACACAAAATATAGTTACAAAAGAAAAAAAAAGAATCAGTAATCCACATAGCTCATGTGATAGCATACAACGCTAACATGAGTAATTATAGCCAGATTATAACAACACTGTGAATATAATGAATGATAAAAAGTTGAAAATGAAGCACAGGTAACAGTCTGAACGTACGGTTTAACTGACGGTATCTTTAAACCACAGCCAGGACTAATAACAGTTAGAAGCGTGACCGTCTTTGCAGGATGCAAATACGTGGCTGTAATTAGGTTTCCAAGTTCAAGAAAGAGAGAAACTGAAGGGCGGTCAGGCCTTTACCTTCATTATGTTTCCACAGGTGTCTGCCTCGGTTTCCACTTCATACCAAACAGTGTCATTGTGCACTCTGACCCAGGAGCAGTTCCTGGAGGCCAAGTTTCCGGAGAATGGATTAAAACCAGAGGAATCCACGCTGGAAATGTGCAGTCCTACTTGGAGCTTATCCCGACCACAGATGAGCTCCGAAATGTGTATCGTGGGACGATGGACTGAGGAAAAACGGTAGCAAAACGACAGATTGGTGATAAAACAGACACTTTTCAAAGCAGATTATCCAGCTACATTTATTCCATTGATTGGTCCTGTCACGTCTGGGGGAATGTCTGGTGTCTCGTCATGTCTTGATTACCTATTGTGTACAGCTGGGGTTCCCCTCCCTCATGTATTTAAATAGTCCTCGTTTCCCATGTCCTGTGCGAGTTTTCATCTGTCGTCTTTCGGCTCCCCACGTCAGGTCAGGTTTGATTTTTGCCACAGCCATGCCACAGTCTTATTTACTTTGTTCCATAGCCATGTTTTTGCCATAGCCAGGTTTTGCCACAGTCTTGCCACAGTTTTGTTAATCTTTATTTTGTTACTTTGCCATAGTCATAGTTTTGCCACAGCCTTGCTTTTTTAACTTTGTCTGGACATTCACTCTTTGCTAGTGCGTCTTTTTGTTACAATAAACCCTGTTTTCTGAATCTCCGCGACTGAGTCCTCCCTCCAACATCCACCCTCCCTGACAGGTCGGTGATGGAGGTATTTGAATTTGGCTATTATTACTGACTTTAGCATTGTATGCTATCACATGATCTATGTAAATTATTGTTTTATTTTCTTTTATAACTATATTTTGTGTTCAAATCTTTGGGTGTGTCCACAGACTCTCTTTTTCTTTCTCTGTTGCATTAGATCCACCTTTAGGTCAACACAAACACACACCATTTGTTACCACATTCCTGTCATCTGCATGAATTAGGACCTGGCCTGTTCCTGCCCAGAGGTAACTGGCCAATAGGACTTGGTTGTGTCCAGTCCTCCTTTGAGGAGGCGGATCGAGCCCAGGAGATAATGCCCATCACCCAGATCTCAGGGCTCTTTGCCCACTGAGACCCAGAGAGAGGTTTTAGTCTGTCAGAGCCCAGCTGATATACTTAACTGTGACCCAATAAATTGAATTTTTTATACTTTTGATCCACTGTGGTTTATTCTCAGGTTTCCATCTAAAGAATCGGGCTAACAGAGGAAAACACTTACAATCACACACGACACTGGCATCTTCATGATGACCACAGTTGTGGACCCCAAACCCCCGGTGTGGGCAGGCTGTAATTGAGGATTCGCTTCCAGAACATCTGACGTCATCCAACCAGATGGGTCCGCTGCCCTGTCCGAAGGCTGCGCTCTGTAGGGCTGAGAGGGCTCTTCCACAGCCCAGCTGTCTGCACACCACCTGGGCGTCCACCAGGTCCCAGGAGTCGTCACAGACCGTCCCCCACTGCCCACTGAGGAAGATCTCCACCCGGCCAGAGCAGGAGCTGTCAGAGTTGACCAGCCTCACTGGTGACCCAGCTGAAACAAAGAGGGAGGGATCCGTTTGGATTTGATGGGATGCGCTGAGCAGCCTCTGGCTGAGGTCTGTAGGAGCCTCAGTGGGATGTCCGACTCCTCCCACATCCAAGTCGGCCATATTGATTAGGTCATGTGACTAGCAGCTTTCTGAGGTGGAAACGAAACTTTACTGTCTATAAGAAATCGGAAGACAAACAATGTCCTAACCCTAAAACAAACCCTGACCCTGACCATAACCCTAAACCTAACCCTGACCCTAAACTTAACCCTGACCCTAATCCTAAACCTGGCCCTAAATTTAACCCTGACCCTAAACTTAACCCTGACCCTAATCATGAACCTAACCTTAAACCTAACCCTGACCCTAAACTTAACCCTAACCCTGACCCTAAACCAAAACTGACCCTAACCCTAACCCTCCACCCATCATAATTGTGAGAAATAAATATTTCTTGGTTAAACTTGTTTGGACTTATTGTACAAACCTATTTAACATCCACTATTTTAACATAATTATGTATAGAGTTGAATTCAGTGTTTGCAAGATTCAATTCACTATTTTTAAATTAATCTCTATACTGCCATGAAGCAATGACCATTTTCTTGCCTGGGATCTTCCTATTGGTGACCTAATCAAAATGGCCGACTTGGAAGCACTGAGCACAGTGACGGGTTTTCCTGAGCCTGACAGCATTTGTGTTTAGTAGCAAACCCGTATCTCACCTTCACAGACGACCCCGGCGTCCTCCCTGTGACTACAGTCGTGGGATCCAAACCCTCGGTGGCGGCACTGGGAGAGCTCTGATTCGCTGCCTGAGCACACGACGTCATCCAACCAGATGGGTCCGCTGCCCTGTCCGAAGGCTGCGCTCTGTAGGGCTGAGAGGGCTCTTCCACAGCCCAGCTGTCTGCACACCACCTGGGCGTCCACCAGGTCCCAGGAGTCGTCACAGACCGTCCCCCCACTGCCCACTGAGGAAGATCTCCACCCGGCCAGAGCAGGAGCTGTTCCCCCCATCGGCCAGGCGGACCTGGCCCTCCTCGCCAGAGCTGGGGTCCACTGTTGCTGAAGTGTTTTCAGTCACCAGGGGGTCAGAGGTTGGTATAGATGTGGTCGATGGAACTTCTGGACCTGGTGTTTTTACCTCTGTAAAACAGAACATTTGATCAGAATCAGAAATGCTTTCATAATCCCGGAGGGAAGTTATTTTTGTTACCAACTCCAGATATACAACAGCACATCTATCTATCTATCTATCTATCTATCTATCTATCTATCTATCTATCTATCTATCTATCTATCTATCTATCTATCTATCTATCTATCTATCTATCCACAACATTCCACACAAAATACAAATAAAATATACACATGCAACCATATGTATGTATACAGATCTAAAATAAGTGACAATGACAGTGCGAGAATGATAAATAAATGGCAATAAATTATTAAGAATTGACAGAGGGGGGATGTCTGACTCCGAGGGAGGAGTTGTGTCACGTCTGGGGGAAATTTTGGTGTTTTTGTCTCGTCTCCATGTTGTCATTTCCTGTTTTATTTTGAAAGATACATCCCCTTGTTTCAGGCCACTTGCACTCCCATGTGTGTCACATGTCTGCTTGTCTTCCCTGATCACCTGTTGTGTTCACCTGGGGCTCGCTTCCCTCATGTGTTTAAATAGTCCTCGTTTCCCATTGTCCTGTACCAGTCTGTTGACTAACTGTGCAGCCCTCTTGTCATAGAAACCATAGTCCTTGCCCTTGATCCCTAGTGCCTCTCTCGAGTGCCTTTTTGAGTCCTGGTCTCCTAGCGATTGTGCATCCTAGTGAGTATTATTTTGTTACTTTGAACCTCGTCTTATTTCCTCGTTAGCGAGTGATTTTGATTAACTACTTTGTTCCCTCCGTGTGGAATGTATTTTTGTTTTACTTTGGTCCACTCTCCGAGAGTGCGCCTTTTGTTGAAAAAAATTCTGTTTTTGATTCGACACTCTGCGACTGAGTCCTCACTGAGCTCCAGATCTTGTCAAGTTGTAGAGATGGGATGTGGACGGTTGTCTCCTGAAAAAAGTATGTTTGATGATTAAACATAAATGAGACAATACCTGTGCAGTATGCTAAATAGCATCCGGTTGGTTTTTCAAGTTTGTAGACGTAGTATTGTCCATAACACAGCTTGACATCAATGGTGTGTCGTGTAAAAGCACAACAGGAGCTTCCCCAAGCTGCGCACACAGGGCGAGTTACAATCCCGTCTGACAGAGTGGGGTGAGCTCCATCGATATACATCGGACCATGGGTCCCGCACCTGCGCGCAGGTACACACCTGTCTGGAATCTGAGCGCTGTTTTGCCCCAAAAACATGCGATACCAGCCCTGCCAGTCAGTGTTCTGATCACAGTGTGGCATCCCTTCCAATGAGCTGTTCAGGGAGCGCCAGTCATCGTCCACCACGGAGTAGAGCTCACAGGGGTCGGCGCATTGGGCGCTGCCATTGTGCGTGATGCAGTCCAGGCCGAACGGACATGTCGCGTTTCCACAGACAAACCGGGCAGAGGGGTCTGGGCCCGAGGCTCTGGGGGAGGGCAGCCGGCACTCAAAGGAGCCGGGCGTGTTGGAGCAAACCCGCGGCGGCTTGCAGGGCGAGTCCGGGAGCGAACATTCGTCCACGTCCAGGCAGCCGGCGCCCGGGGACCAGCGGTAGCCCGGGCCGCAGCAGGGGGAGCCGGCACAGGCCTCCGGGGAGGAGCAGGCGAGGCCGTCGCCCACAAAGCCGTCCTTACAGACGCAGGAG